AAGGAATGGTGACTAGTGGGCGCTGGCGGCAAGAAGGGATGGGGAGCTATTGTTTAATAGGTATAAAGTTTCCATTCTGCACCATGAAAAGAGTTCTGCAGACAGATGGCGGTGATTGTTGTATAATGCTGTGAATATACTTAATACCACTGAAACGTGCACTTAAAATTGGCTAAAAAAAATTTTTTTTTAAAGATTTTATTTATTTATTTGACAGAGAGAGAGATCACAAGTAGGCAAAGAGGCAGAGAGAGAGAGAGGGGGAAGCAGGCTCCTGCTGAGCAGAGAGCCCGATGCAGGACTCGATCCCAGGACCCTGAGATCATGACCTGAGCCGAAGGCAGAGGCTTAACCCACTGAGCCGCCCAGGAGCCCCTTAAGTAAAAATTTTTTAAAAATGGGTAAGCTGGGGACACCTGGGTGGCTCAGTTGGTTGGACGACTGCCTTCGGCTTGGGTCATGATCCCCGAGTCCCGGGATCGAGTCCCGCATTGGGCTCCCAGCTCCACGGGGGATCTGCTTCTCTCTCTGACCTTCTCCTCGCTCATGCTCTCTCTCACTGTATCTCTCTCAAATAAAATAAAATCTTTAAAAAAAAAATGGGTAAGCTGGTAAATTTTGTTATGTGTGTTTTGTCATAATTACTAATATATTATTTTTTAAAGAAAGAGTAGAGTCTAGGGGATGCCTGGGTGGCTAAGTCAGTTAAGCATCTACCTTTGGCCAAGGTCATGATCCCAAGGTCGTGGGATCCAGCCCCGCTTAGGGTTGCCTGCTTACCGGGAAGCCTGCTTCTCCCTCTCCCTCTGCCCCTCCTCTCCACTCATGCTCTGTCAAATAAATAAATAAAATCTTTAAAAAAAAAAATAAAAAAGTAGAGCCTACAAAGATTTCACATTCAATGGCCACAGTGTTGATCTGCTGCCGTCCACTTGGATGAGCAGAATTTCTCTCAGCGGTGAGAGTAACTTCACACCTGTTCAATCACCCCATATGCTTTCTATTTCTCTGTCCTCATTTTCATTATCTCCTAGCCAAACCTTATCAACGAGACCAAAAAACTGACAGAAGCTCCATTAGCCGCTACTGTCCTGAAGGCCAAGATCAAAGATGCAATGTTCAAAGTCACGAAACAGCTGGGACGTTCTGCCGCGAGCCAGACTATGCCTACACGCCGGCCTCACCCACCACCGCTCCCGTGGGTTCTCCAAGGCACAGCAATGTAGAACTCAGCCCTAATAGCCACACTGATCCCACACCGGCGAGGTAGGCTGAAAACAAGAAACTGCCAAGCTCTGCTTTCCACCCCCAGACACGGCTGCATCTATCCCTCCCGTTCAGTGCTCGCTCGGGTGAAGGCAGACCCTGGCCTGCCAGGAAAACCAGCATCAACATCCAGTGGCCTCCAGGGCACCGTGTGAGAATTTTGTTTTCTGTCTCCAAGACAGGCCTCCTTTGCACAGTATGGATTTTTGTTCAGAACTAGTATCTCTTTTTCTACATTTGGGATAAAAACACACTTACCTGGATGTCTGCTCCTAACACCCTCCGCCCCTGGCTCTCCCTGCTTCCCAGCGTCTGTTTCTCCTGGAAAAACGCTCCCCAGCCTTCGGGGACCAGCCCTGCCCTCGTCTTGCCTGCATGGCAGACCCTGTTGCTGTCCTTGAACCTCCATTTCCCCTTTTCCACCGTGGGCTTTCTCCCTCTGGCACTACAGACGCTTTGGGCTAGAACATTCTTCGTGGTGGGGGCTGTCCTGTGCACCGCAGGTGCTCAGCGGCATCCCGGATCTCCACCCACCAAACCCACAATGCTTCCCAGCACCGTCAACCATCCTGAGAGCAAGACTGCCCCTGGCTCAGAACCACCATTCTGCAGAACAGAAGCTGCAGGCAGGCCGACGGCCACCCCACTGAAAATCAGATTTCCCTGTCGGGTCCCAGCCAAAGACTGACCGAGGTGGGAGTACCACTGACTGGCTCCCAGTCTGAAGGAGGACGCGCCCTGCAGCGCCATCCTGTGTTCCACAGTCTGCCTCCCGACCCGCAATCAGGGTGAGGCTAAGACCACATCCTCCCTGGGCCATCACCCTTCCCTAGACTGCTTCCCTCCCCCCTCCCCTGCAGGGCACTGTCCTAGGTCCTGTTGTGGGTTCAATGACACCCCACAAAAGATATGTTATCATCCTCACTCCCATCAGTCCAGAATGTGACCTGACTTGGAAATACGGTTGTCGCAGATGTGATTATTTGAAATGGGAACATAATGGGGTAGGGTGGGCCCCTCATCCAATAGGACTAGTGTCCTTGTAAGACAGAGGTGCACACAAAGAAGGTCACGTGACAACAGAGGCGAGATTCGAGTGATGCAGCTATAAGCCCAGGGATGCCAAGGACAGCGAGCAACCATCAGAAGCCAGAAAGCGGCAAAGAAAGATTCTCCCCTATAGGTTTCAGAGGGAGCATGGCCTTTATCTTGGACTTCTAACATCCAGACTGGGAGACAATGAATTTCTATAGTTTTAAATCTCTAATTTGTGATGTTTTGTCACAGCAGCCCTACAAACGAATCCACACCCAAACCCTTATCTCAAGCTCTGCTTCCAGTGAACCCAAACCTCAGACAACTGGCCTTTCTACTCACAGAGTGTAATTTCCAGAGCCAGCCCGCGAAGGGAGAGGGGAGTCCACTCTTCCCTCAGCCAGTTTCCATGAGCCTTTCTTAGAGCGAAATGGAAGGAGGGAAGGAAGGAGGGTGGCAGGTGAGAGAAAGAAACTCACTTCGGGGAATCCTTCCTTCCCTCCATCCTTCATTCATTCAACAAAGATTACTGAGCGCTACCTGCCACATGCCAGGCACTGTTCTAGGCATAGGACATGGAGAAGTGGACAGAAAAGATAAAAATCTGTCCTCATGGGGTTTGCATACTAGCAGGGGAGACATATCAGAGAATGTACGGTCTGTGAGACGACGGGAAGGGGTCAGGGAGGGCCTTAGGTGGGGGCTACCAGGCCAGCAGAGGGATGCGGCAGATGCCACCTCTGGTGCCAGCTACAGACCGTCCCAAAGTCCCGCTGGGGCATGGTATCAGCTCGGGCAGACAGCTGTCCCTGAGGCTGTGCAAGCGCACCTGACCAGCAGCCAAAGGGCCATTCTGGCCCGAAGACCCACTGTGGCCTTCCCCTCCTTCCCTGTGTTCTCCTCAACCCCTCACTCCTGCTTCCTGGGATCACCTCCTAAATAAACCACCTGCACCCAGGGCCTTGCCTTGGCCTCGGATTTCGAGAGAATCAAACTAGGGCAGATGGGCCAGGACCCGCTGACTGAGACTCTAACACTTCACACTACAGCCAAGGCAAGGTGTGCGGATGTCCAGATTCTCTGGGTGTCCAGGGTCCTCCATTTGAATGTGTACAATCGAGCTTGGCCACACAGAATCGATGTGGTCCAGTGGGTCTCCCTCTTTCTAATTTCTTAATGTTTGGAAACCCAGTGAGAAGGCTACACAGAAAGCATCCAATATGTCCTGGTCATGTGATGGGAAGGAGGACATGGGATTACAGCAAACACTCCTAACACCTGGACCACCCGGTCCCCATCCCGATCGCTTCAGTGCATGTGGGCCCGAATGTGGCTGCCAGCTCTCGTACTTTTTTTTTTTTTTGCATCTGTGGATATCAAAGATCTCTTTATCCACCAGTGTAACGGGTCAGAAATGCCAGGGAAGAAGCGTCTCCATCCCCCACAGCCCTCATTCAATGACTGATAGGAACTGGTGTATAAACACCCCAGCTCCCCCGCCCCCCAGGTGGAAAGACTCGTAGGCATGTGTCTAACACTGGCTTCTCCTTTCCCTAGCTTGTTTTGGCTCCATTCACCCACAGCAGTGGCCGGCCAGGTAATACACACGTTATGTGACTGTCCCACTCCTTCCTAATGTGTCCTCTGGTGTCACCTCCCTGATAAATTACTTCCCTTGCCCTGGGATTTTCTCCTTCTTGGGGGATCCAAATGAAGAGAAGGATAAATCTATCTTTGAATGGAAACACACACACACAGTAGAGCAACCCCTCCGGGGCCCACGTTTAAAGCCTGTCCTCCGGGATGATGCTGGCTCATCAAATGCCTGACCAGGAGAGCTCAGCTCTGAAACGCACCTTGGTATGTCAGACCTAACGTAATCCTGCCTGCGTTATACATGATTGTCACCCTCGGCGTGAATGGACGACACTGGCCTCCAACCGGCTGGGTCTTTTCCTTCCCTGGGGCGCCCACCTCCTCCTTCCGCCCCCACAGAGTGCACTGTCATCTTCCAGTCCACAGAATGCCCAAGCGAGGGACGCTCCCAGCCCACTGGGGACAGAGCCTGGTCCGTGGGTGGCTTCCCCAGCAGCCAACTGCCTGTCTGTGGGCTGGTCGGGGGAAAGAAGCCAATCTCACAATTTGCCTGAAAAACATCCATATATCATCCTGTTCTTCAGCCCTCATTTTATTTTTCCCAAATCAATTTCTAAAAGTCAAAATGACTGATAGCTTCATACCCTGGACCATCATTCTCCTTATTAAATAACCCAGCATCGACAACAAAAACCTCTCAGGGTGGTGATGGTTATGTGAATCTATACATGTGATAAAACTTCATGGAACTACATAAACACACACACACACATGCACGCACACATACACACACACGCGTGCACGCGCACACACAGTGGTGCGTGTAAAACTCCGTGAAAATCCAATAAGGTCCGGAGCCTCGTGGCCAACGTCACTTTGCTGGCATTGCTAACACACTCTGGTTGTGTAAGATTTGTGACTGGGGCTGCTGGGTGACAAGAACACAAGAACTCCCCATGGCGTCTGCGACAGCTTATAAGTCAAAACTTATTTCAAAATTGAAAGTTTTTTAAAATGCAAAGGCGATTTAAAGAAAAAAATGAAAATCAGATTAAAAAAAAAAAAAATCTCCCAGCAGGTAAGACCACCAACCTGCCCCTTACCTGAGAACTGGGGACCAGCGCCTTCCACCAGTGCCCGCCTTTCACCAGGTCAACCTCACACAGGGGCACAGACACCTTCCCAATGACACAGTGGCGGGAGAACTTATCAAAATCCACCACGGTCAGCAGTAGGGTCCTCCTCTGCGCTTCTAGGAAGGGGATCTCGAAGGTGTAACGCTCCTCAAACACGGGTTTCTGGGTCTTGCGTTTGACCCCCGTCTGCTTCGAGTTCTTCTGGTCCGGCAGGAGACAGATCTTGACGTAGGGGTTTGAGTGCGCCATGTCCTGGCGCGAGCCATCGTGGGAGATGGGGGGCGGCAGGTCCCTGGCCTCGATCACCCTCACGGTCAGGTGGTTGTGCAGCAGGTCATACTGGGTGCTGAAATGCAACATGCCCAGCTGGTACTTGGACAAGATCTCCTCATCGGTCAGGAAGTCCACGTCGTCGCTGTTGGAGTCGAGGGAGTACAGCTGAGGCTCGAACTTTCTGAAATAGTCATCCGGGGTATAGGTCCGTCTGAGCACCGAGGGCTGGATGGGCTCCTTTTTGGCGCTGAGCACGCCAAACTCGATAGGTTTAATATCAATGAGCGGGGAGCTGGGCCGTCTGGATTCAAGACCTAAACAGCCACCAGAAAGAACAATTAACACCACCACACGCGGGACCGAACCCGGGCAGCTTCATGAGCCTGGCAACACTTCCTAGACTCTCCCGCCTTTCACCCTGTTTCCTAAGGCTCTTCGCCATCTGCCCTCCATACCTTGAGATCCTCTTATCGATTCTGAGACGCAACATAGAGGCATGACCATCCCCATCACAACCAGCCACTGTTCTCAACGCACTGATATATCAAGCCACCGATCTCCACGAGGTAGAGATCCCTATCTCTAGGAGCAGCGATCCCTTCTTGACAGATGAGGAAACAGAAACTCAAAGTAACTCTCCGGAAGTGAAGAGGTAGTAAAGAGGCAGAACCAGGAGTCGAGCCCAGCTTGTCTGGCCCCAGAGTCTTGAGGCTAACCATGACCCTATACTGCCTCCACTTCCAGAGAGTGGACTCTGGAGCCAGACTTCCTGGGACTCAGGTTTCCCATCTGTAAAATGGACTCAGTCATAGTGCCTGCTTCAGAGGATGGTGATTCATGGAGCCAACGCATGGAAAGGGCTCGGCACAGAACGTGCCCATGGTAAGAGTTTACTAAACGACAAGTTTCTGTACTTCTTCAAGGATCACATTTGGACTTCCCACTCGTGAGGCACCTCTCCCCTTCCTCTCAACCAGCAGACTTCATGGCTCCCAAGTTCATCATTCGAATCTTTGCTCACCCCTCGATTCTAGCAATGAGCTCATGGAATTTAAAAAAAAGAAAGAAAGAAAACAATTATTTAACGGAGGGACAACTAACACACAAAAATGCAGTACATATGAGCTCGGGGGGAAGTACGCACCCGAGAAGCCATCGCCAAACCCATGCTACAGACATACCCATCACCCCCCAAAGTGTTCTCCTGCCTTCTTTATGGAATTTTTCTGGGGATAAGGACCTTTAACATAAGATCAAGTCTCTTAGTGAAATGTTAGGTATATAACACTGTTAACTGTAGGCACCATGCTCTCCAATAGAATTCTAGAACTTACTTATCTTGTGTAATGGAAACCAACACCGCCCCAGGCCCCAGTCCCTGCAGAACCTGGTACCTACACTTTCCTCTCTGCCCCTACGAGCCGACCGCTAGATTGAGCACAAAAAGCAGGGTCACATAGCATTCCTTCTTTCACGACATTCTTATTAAGTGCCCCAACACCTGTCCTGTCCGCTAACATTATGAGACTTTGGTCTGATGCATGGTTGGTATGCTGGTAACTCTGTGCTAAATGGAAATCGTCTGTGTACAGAGCTGGGCGGGAGACCTAGGAATCATCTAGACAGGTTCTATTCAAGACATATATAATGGGGTTCAGAAAGACAAACGACATAGGTAACATAAAACCATCTCATTTGTAAGAGGGCAAAGAAACTGGTGAAATGAATGTTAATATGCTCAACATCTCATCAAAATGAATACATTTTAATGAGACAGTTTAAATTCTCTCGTGTTTCCTGGCTTCAGAATTGTGGGTATTTAACACATACAGCGTGTCTCCACGGAGCTTAGCCCCATTTAAATGCTCACCAGTGACATGTGGCTGGAGGTCGCTGGACTGGACGGCGCAGGTCGAGAACAGGCCTCTTGTTTTACAGATGGAAAGACTGAGGCCAGAGAAGCCTCACGTCCCCTCTGTTTCACTCTTTCAAGCCCTTGAACTTTTCCTACTTCCTCCCCACCATTTACCCCCAGGAAAGATGAGACGCGAATATTTCCTGAGAGGATTTACTTGATGAATTGTAAGCTTTTCCCCCCCTCTGTTGAGTGAACTGCAGAGAGCTGACCGAGACAGGAGAGATACTTTGGGGGAGTGAAAGGAGGCTGGGAGTCTCTGGGCTTCATCCTCTTCCTTCTTCCTCACCCAAACCATCCCATCTTGTCAAACACAGATGTTGTACATCCGAGTGGACTAACTTGTGGGGGGCGTCTGTGAACCCTAACCAATCCTGAGATACATTCTGTCTGGGTTTAAAGCTGAAGAAGTTTCATATAAAAACCCAGATTGCGGGCGCCTGGGTGGCTCAGTGGTTAAGCCTCTGCCTTTGGCTCAGGTCATGATCTCAGGGTCCTGAGATCGAGTTCCGCATCGGGCTCTCTGCTTGGCAGGGAGCCTGCTTCCTCCTCTCTCTCTCTGCCTGCCTCTCTGCCTACTTGTGATCTGTCTGTCAAATAAATAAATAAAATCTTAAAAAAAAACAAAAAAAACCCACAACACCCAGATTGCCAGTTTCTCCTCAGAAAGGGCAGGCACTACGGAGCCCACGATCTCGTTCCCACAGCAAGAATGAGTCGCAGCTGTCCCTTTCAGTCGGGCGGTAGCTTCCCAAAAGGGCCACAGTCCCCACCCTGCCCTGGCAACTGAGGCCAAGTCAGCTGCCACTTGTCACTGCATTAGAACAATCCTCATCTCTGCTCAACCCTTTGCAAGTCACTTACTGACATGACCCGCCTGGCCCTGAAAGTTACTCGAATTTGTGCCTTTTGGGGTCTGAAATGATACACGTGGACCACATCAATCAACTGAGCCAACTCGGTGAAACTTGTGATCAGTAAAAAGAAAAATCGATCAAAGTAAGTGTTTCTGGGGCACCTGGGTGGCTCAGTGGGTTAAGCCTCTGCCTTCAGCTCAGGTCATGATCTCAGGGTCCTGGGATCGAGCCCCCCATCGGGCTCCCTGCTCAGCACGAAGCCTGCTTCCCCCCTCTTTCTGCCTGCCTCTCTACCTACTTGTGATCTCTCTGTCAAATAAACAAATAAAATCTTTAAAAAAAAAAAAAAGTGCTTCTGACTGAACTCAGAAGAAATCAGGTGCAACGCGCTCTTGTCACATCGCCATTCTTTCTCTATCCTCTTGTCTCCTGGCTGCCATTCCACTGTGCCCCCTCCCCAGAGACAACCCCTTCCCTCATGTCTTTCCTTGGGGATGCCGCCAAGTGTCTGGGAAAGCCAGCTCTCTCCTTTGGTCCTGAAGACCTGGCTAATGGGATTTTTAACCTGCGGACCCCGCATGGAGGGGGAACAGCACAGGACCACGTGAGCCACGACCCCTAGGCAGTCACAGCAAAGACACTTACTTGAAATCCTCCGGGTCAGGCTGTATGTAGACTTAGATGTGTCTGAGGACGAGCATCTTCGATCTGGGGAATTGGTCCGTGGGGTCAGAGGGACTTCACTGCCTGTGTGGACAGAGTCCCCGTCCTTGTCACTGCTCCGGCTGGCCATCCTATAGGAATGAAAGAGGTCTCAATGGTTGTTAAAAATCTCCAGGGACTGGCACCTCTGTCCCTGGGAGGACAGCCCCGCGATCAAACAGCTCTCAGATCCAGTGTATACAACTTGCAGTAACACAAACTTGAATCAGGGCGGCAGCCCTAAACTCTCAGTAATATCCTACTTTTTGCATAAAATGTGAAATGATATGAATAAATACTTTCCGTTTTAGAACAATCTGTCAAGAATGTGCATAATTTCCAGAGGATGGTGGGGAGGGATACGTACTTATTCAGGCTATTGCCACATGGGGGCGCCACGTTGGCTAAGTCAAGCCAAGACCTCTTGTTGCTCAGTCTGGAAAGAACCATGGGGTTGGCGTATTCTCGTCTGAACTTCTGCAAGTGGCTTTTGGTGGAAATGGCCTGCTATTTCAATCCTGGGTCTATACTTTATATCTTTTAAAAGTAACCTATAGGGATGCCTGGGTGGCTCAGTCATTAACCATCTGCCTTTGGCTGAGGTCATGATCCCAGGGTCCTGGGATCAAGCCTTGCATGGGCTCCCTGTCGGAAGGAAGCCCGCTTCTCCGTCTCCCACTCCCCCCTCCTTCTGTTCCCCCTCTAGCTGTCTGTCATATAAATAAATAAAATCTAAATAAATAAATAAATAAAATAAATAAAAGTATCCTATAACAGTGTCAACTCAAGAGTTCTCTGAGTCGAGGTTAAAGCTACAAAATGGCCCTAAGAATCAATGACTTAAGAGCAATAGTTTGATGGGAAGAAATAGTTAAAATGAGCAGAAGCCATGATCCAATGCGCTCCCAAGGAGGATGAAAAATACTGTAAGAAAAAGCACTGGGTCGGGGATGGGGAGATACAGGGTAGTAATTAAGAGCACAACCTCTTGGTCTGAACCCTGGCTGGGTGACCTTGGGCAAGGCCCTTCCTCTCTCTGTGCCTCCATCTACCCATCTGTCAAATGGGAATAATAACAGTACCTACCTTGGATGGCTGCTCTCAACACTGAATGAGTTAGCACATATAAAATGCTTAGAATGGTCCTAAGTAGTAGGTGTGTGCTCAATACATTTTGGCTGGTATTATTAGAATCTTTAAGAGCCCCCAGTCCCCAAAAAGCTAGGTGAGGATGCCATGGGGGGGGGAAGGGAGAGGAGGGTTAAAAAGTTGGCAGAGTGGCTGAGAGACCGATGCTGCTATTGACGCGCCCCTAAGCTACCCTGGCTGTGGATGGATACCTTCTGAGACCGCACCCCCCACTCCCCCCCCAGCATGACATTTAAGCCTGTGCAGAAGCTAGTCTTGAAAAATGCAAGTTTCCAATTCTAGGAGGTCTTCAGATACATCCTGTGCATGAAATGAGATGGATCTGATGTTCTCCCAAAGCAATATAAGGGTCACAGCCAGGACAAGACCGGGCATATGATGAGGGGTGGAGGGGGGCTGCAGAGGAATGCCCAGTCCTTGCTTGCCTCCCGCTCCCGGTCTGTAAGAGGTACACGTAGCAGATGGAATGGCGGGGGGCGGGCAGGGGAAGGCACAGAAATGCAGCCATACTGTACGCTTGATTCTTCTCTCGAAGGTGGAACCACCTCAGGCACCCCCAGCCACAAGCCTGTTTCCTGGAGGGCCGCTGCCATAGGTCAGTGCAGCGGCCACCTCCACCTGGGAAGTCCCACCCAGTTTTCAAGGCTCAGCTGAAGCGCTGTGGCCCCTGAAGCCTCACATGAGTCCTCTCAGACAACAACTGAGCCACCCCTGCTCCTCTGCACTCCCCGGGCTTCCCAGCCCTTCCCCCAGCACACTGAGCTGAGCCACGCTCTTCCCTCTGCCCAGAACACTCTTCCTGTCTCCATCTCCTGTTCAGTTCCTTCTCATCCTGAGTCTCAGCTTCAACAGCATCTCCTCTGAGAGGCCCCACCCTGTCCCTACCTAACGCCTCTCCCACCCCACCAGCCCTTATCTCCCTCTTCAACGATGCTTATCTTTGGTGCCTGACACTAAATTCTGACTCAGTATTGCCCGTTCACCACGGCCGACCTTGCCCCAGTAAGGCATCTGGCACGTGTGGGGTCTTCCACATTTATTTCTCAGTAACTGAAGGAATGAATTCACCCTTCTTAGGATTCTTTTCTGATGTATCTTGTCTTAAAATGATCTGAGTGCCTATCGTGCCCCTCCCCCCCCCACCGCACAGCAGGGTACACTCCTTAATGTATACTTCTCTTGATTAAAGGTACCAGGTGCTAGGCACCCAGTATGTGTCAGGCACTGTGCTAAATACTCTGTCTGAACCATCTCATTAATCCTTAAAACAATCCAGAGTTTACTTGTTATTAACAAGGTTCACCCCATTTACAGATTGGCGGTGGGGGGGTGGTGTGGGCACAAGGGACAGGGGTGGGAGATGGGATGGATAATTATTTTGCACCTGTTACACTCCCAATGGCCAGCAATACCAGCATGCCCCCAACTACTGAGCTGGGTATCCCTTGTGAGACCTGTCAGAGCTACGGACATGGTAGGTCCTCGATACACGCTTGATGGACAAAGAATGACCTGATGTTAGTTCACTCTTCAATGAGGGTCTTTCTGGCTTCACTCCAAAAGCAGCCAGTCGGACTGTATACGGTTTTCCCGACCTTCACCAGCCCGGCCCAGCCAAGGAAAGCTGGGGGACCCAAATGACAGGAGCATGTGTGACAATTAATGGTGTGGTGTGTTCCCCAAAATCCCACACACAAAGGACTAGCTCATCTGCCATAGGCCGTCCCACGGAAAGGTATGTCCTGTGGTTCTTAGCTCAAATATCACAGTAGGAACAGCACTGCAAAGCCTGTACACTTGACATTTCTACTCCCTGCCTATTTGATAACATGCAACTGCCCACTTGGTAAATAAATCTGGGGAAAGCACAAGCTGCAAATTCACTTTTTGAATGATTTAACCCGCCTCCCCTTTACAGATTTCTCTTAACATTTTGCATTACGTTGAGTGCCAAAAATGTATACTAAGGTGCTACCCAGGATTCAAGATATTCATCCTGAGAAGCACGGAAAGTCATGTACCGTTGTTCAGGCTCTAGACTGCAAAGTTCTAGGTGGTATTCATAACGACCACCAGGTGAATGGGGCCTTCCAGAGTTGTGCAGTGTGTAGGCCCTGCTGGGAAGGTTCCAGCCCTCTTCTCAGCCTGTGGCAAAACCAAAGCGTCTTCCCAGAGGGTCTCCACCCCTTGCCCCCAGAAGGAGTCCCCCACTTGCACAACGGGTCAGCAGCCAGGGGAAAGTGCAACTGTCCACCAGCTCAGTGCTAGAACCTAGGCCATGCATCCGTAACACTCAACATCTGGGCATCTGCGGTAAACAGGTAGCTGACTGTGATTTTCAGGGTCCATCAGGATTCTGCACTGGCTCAGAGGCCAATTCAAATTCCTTGATCTGGCATTCAAGACCCTACAGGACCTGAGCTTACAGGCTCATTTTCCATGATTTCCCCAACTCTTCCTGGGTGCTGTGGAGTCTGCCCATCCTGGGTCTATTCCCTCTGTAACTGCTCTGGTTACAGCACCCAAACTGTCTATTACAAAAATCAGCAAACTCTGGGGCCCAATCTGCTACCTGACTTTGAAGTAAGACAGGAACAAAGCCATGCCCGTTCAGTAACGCACGGTCTACTGCTGCTCCCACAGTATGTCTAGGAGTGGTTGGGACAGACTAAGTCCTTTCTAGGAAAAGTGTGCCCAGCCCTGGTCTACAAGCTTGGTTCACATGTGTCAGGTGGGATGGCCCTTTCCCTGGTTCCAGGGTGGTCAGACAATCCAGGCATGATGCTAGCACCACTTCCTCCAAGCAAAAGTGACTGGCTCAACTCATTGGCCCATGACCCAAATCAGACAAATGAGAGCCCTTCCTGGTTTGTTTGCTGCTGTTGAGAATGAAGCAAAGAAGCAAGCTTAAGAATGAAGCAAATATGGGGTGCCTGGGTGGCTCAGTTGGTGAAGCGTCTGACTCTTGATTTGGGCTCAGGTCATAATCTCAGGGTTGTGAGACTGAGCCTTGCATTGGGCTCTAAGCTAGGCATGGAGCCTACTTAAGATTCTCTCTCCCTCTCCCCCTCCCCACTCCTCAAAAAAGAATGAGGCCAGTACAGAAGAAAAAGGGGGGGGGGTAGGGGAAGAGGGCACAAATGCATGCCCATGACAGCATATGACCCCTGGATCCAGCTATGCCTGAAGCCACTGTCCCTGGATTTTTCTCTATAAAGATACTATGCAAAACTGTCATAAAGTTGTGCAGGGTGTGAATGCAGAACTCTTGGGGGTGGTGGACCTACATACCTGCCTTATCCCCTCTACCACATTTAAAATCTCCTGAGCACAGTAATCAGACTGTATGGAGTCTCTGCATCTCACAGTGCCTCCCCACAAAGCATACCAGAGACATAGTTACCAAAGAAACAGATTAAGTTTTCAACCAGATGACTGGCACTTTCTGCCTGCAGGTTCAATTTCTGCCTACAGGTTCATCAGCGGGTTAATAACCATTTTTTGGAGTGAACAACACAGATAAAAACCATGCCCTCACTAAGCTGGCATCCTTCTGAGCATGGCTTTCAAGATACCAGATGCGCTGAGCCAACCTCAGCAACACAAGGCACTAGACAGTGGGACCAAACATCTCAACTCCGTGTGTACCTGCAGGATTCAGGCTATATATACCCCGTGACTAATGAAAGCATTGCTGAACACTGTCTTTACACCAGTTTAAAGAATCTCCATCCACACCTACAAATTCAGAAACGAACACTTACTACTCTGTGAAGCACGTTATGTGCACACCTCATTACTCTGAATCACAACCCTATAAAACAAGTTCTATTACTATTCTCACTTTACAGACGCAGAACCCAAGACCGAACAGGGTTAAGATGAACCACTTACATTAATGCTTGCCAAGCAAGTGTCAAGCATTTGTAAATGCTTTTCTGTGTACGAAGTCAGGCAGTCATCACAACCACCATATGACATAAACCCTATTATTTTTATCATTCCCATTTCACAGATGGGAAATCAAGGCACAGAGACCTAACAACTTGCCCCAGGTGACAGAACTGGGAAAAAGTAGGAGACACAGGATTTGAAGGCGCAGAGCCTGACACAGAGCCATGTTGCTATGGCAATATTTGATGCTTCTAAGAAGAGCAAGTGAGAGGACGGAGATGTGACCCCCCCAGCTTGGAGGGAAAGAGGGTATGTCGTGGACTTCCAGAACCTGGAACAGCTCAAAGACTGAGCTGGAACAGCACCGGGTTCCCACTGTGGCTCTGGCTGTGGGCCCTCGCATTGCCTCCTGCCCGCTCGGAGCTCCCAGCTCTCACTCAGGAGGAGGTGGACTCAATGACGGCCAGGCCCTTCTCGGTGCTGGCCTTCCAGACTCAACCCAGGCTCTCTTCCCTTAGCCACCGAGAGGTGGACCAGAAACATGGCTGAGAAGCTTCAAAACTATGTTCCCAAAATATCTGAGCGACTGGCAGATGGAGACGTTGTGTGCAGGCGCGGGAGGAGCACGAATTGGAAATAAAATGAAAGATGCCAGAGAGAACATAAACAGCGTTGGAGGACAGGATGGAGCCTGGCGGTGCTTTTCTGCTTGCCTGTGCCTGAAGTTCGCGTTCAGACCAGCAAAAAGGCACCTGTTTGTCCACTCGGTCTACCAACCAGGAGCAGCTGGTCCTGAGCATCAACTCTGTGCCAGGCACTGTGTCGGCGGGGGCTAGGACCGTGGATCGTTTTGACGTGGACAGCCGTCCTTAGAATCTGGACGTCCCTTGAGGAATGCAGGTGCTCCCAGATCTCTCCTTCCACGTGGAATGACACTCAACGTTGATTAAAAGCGCGCACAGGCTTAGCACTGAGCGGTTCGAGTCTCAGAGGAACTGAGGGAAACGGAGGGGAAGCTAGAGGCCGGCCACCAGCTTGCCGGACAGAATGAGAGGCGCGTAGCAGGTCCCCGTGCGCAGCACAGAGGTCCAAGGACGCCCGGCATTTCCCTTCTTTCACGCCCCGGAGCCCTCCTACCCGCACCCCCCAACACACCAACAGAGCAAAGCAAACATCTCAAGATCGAGATCGCTTCCAAGGAAGTTCAGAGCAGTTTTTACTTACAGCCAGGGAGGGGTCTGGGCAGGGAAAGGTCCCAGAATTTCAACTTCATCCTCACTCGACTGGCAACAGCTGGATTCATAGCACCTCTGACAGCAGTGCCTGCAAGTCCATCTGCACAGTAGCAGATCGGAGATTCTAGAAAGAAAACCCTGAGGCCATCGGGGGAGGTGGGCAGTGGAGAGGGGGCGTGGGGGGGAGGAGGGAGGAGGGGAGAGGAGGAAAAGGAAAAACACCTGAAAATTACAAGTGGCCGATCCCTGCTGGGAAATAAGGACATTCAGGAGGTCTCTGCGGCTGAACACTTAGAACAAAATGTTTTCTGTTTCTATTTACCAACTGCAGGCACCAAGATGGCAAACACCAACTCGCTGAGCCGTTAATAGCGAGCAAAACATTTGCAGGTATTTTCCCGGGTAGTTTACGTGAATGTCCTTCTTGACAGGTGGTGGTTTATACAACATCGTGAGGGCTTATACAATATGTTCTCGAGACACAATGAATATTACTCTGCCTTCTTGAAAGCAAAGCAAAAGAGGTTTTTAAAAAAAATCATCTCAGTGACATGAAAGTAAATAGAGGTAACTGAACGGAGTGAGGAGGGGATAGGTGGGGAGCAATCCAGCCTGTCTACAGGAGTGTCTCCTCTTCCTCGGGATCTCCCTCCCTTCCGCAGAAAGGCAACAAAACCACTGTCACTCTAAGCATCCAGTCATTCTTTAATACTGAACAGCCCCGCAGCCCCACATAAGACTCCAAAGCGAAAGGCAAGCACCTCTTGATCAGAAACCAGACCGAAGGAATCATCAAATGAACCCACCTCGTTCAAAGGTTCCAACTGCCCTTTTAGAGATCCACGGAGAAGCCAAGGGCGTCGGGGGCGAGAGGATTACAAAAAGAGAGACAAGACCAGTTTAGCAATATTCCAGCAACTCAGAAAAGAAAAAAAGAAAGAAAGAAAGAAAAAAAAAAGGCCTGCATCTTTCCATCTTTCCACTTACCATCCTGGGAAGGGAGCTGACTCCCTAACAAGCTGCTGCTGTCTACGGGGCTGCCGGTAGCCTCCTGGCTAACCAGCACCGAATAAATGGGAAACTTTAGCATTTCGATTTGATTTGCACCGTATGCTGTTATGAATCAGAGCGGGTGGATAGATAGTCATGCTATCCAACGCAGCCACACTTCAGAACAAACCTTCCCATACAGAAATAGCCATGAAGCCAACCCAGAAGGACATGATTAGCTAAGAGGCAGGCAGACACAATGTGTGACTTGGGATGTGACTTGGCTTCTCCCACCCTCCCAGGGGCCCTACCTTAAAATCCTGCTCCAATGGTGATGGTGGGGAGTTCCATATGACCACCCACAAACACAAGGAGCAGAAAAGGAAGCCATAATCTGGTCCTGGGAGGGGACGGGGGGGTGGGGCTACCTCCCTTTTCAGCCCCACCTCCCACCAGGACTTCTTCTCACAGGTTCCCGAGGCATAGACTCCCTCCTCCCACCCCCCCACCGCCAGGGAAGAGTGGCAGTGGCTTAGGAACCAAGGGGCCAAGTAAACCAGATAGATTAGGAGTTCCGCATCCCAGCCTGGGATAAATCCCGGAGATGAACTCAAACTCAGAACGTCGAATCCAGACAAAGAAAGTTACCCCCCTTTTCAGTTCTCTCGCAAGGAGGTGGAGGTCTCAGTTTGGTACCACTGCATGTTAACATGTTTCTAACCCTTGTACATCTACCCCCCCACCCCCAGCCCCTCTTCCTTTCTAAACAGAGAGCAGACCTCAGCTCGGAGTCTTGGACATAGCAAATATGTGGCATTATTATCCTTGTGTTTATTTTTCCAGCTGCCTTCTGTTTATATCAAGTGATCCTGGTTTCCTATTATGGTACTGACATCAAGTTTCCTTTTCATACGATTTTAAGTAAAAAAAAAAAAAAAAAAGTGAGTCCCTTTATAGGAAAAAGTATTAAGTAAATATAGTACAAGTGGTACACAGCTCATGAAAAATTAAAAATCCTTGAAGTGATAAGGGAATGGCTGCAGCTTGGGAAAGAAAGTCTCAGGCACTAATCAAAAACTCTTCCAAAAGCAAAAGTTGAACCACACACAGAACAAGACCTGAAGATGCCTGGGGGCCACACAGAGCTGAGAGGATAAGTGTTAGAGCCGGCTTCACCACCAGCCAATCATGTGACTTGGGTAAATCAGGGGGCCACTCTGAACCTCAGTTACCTCTTTTCTTCAATGAAGGGCTAAGCTAGGACTCTGAAAATGCCTGCGTGTGCTGACCAGCTACAAAGTATCTGCACTCTTTCCCTGGCTTTATGAGAATAAGGTGGTTTTGTCAAGACCAGCTGGAACCTATTAGCATCAGAGACTGTCCTGAAAGTGAAAAGGCAGCAAAAAGCTACGCCCTCGTGCACTGACATGAGAAAGTGCTTGAAGATGCTTACAATAAAGTGCAAAGATAAAGGGCTGCTTTTTCCTTGGACAACAGTTCATGCCCATTCTTTTCTAAGAGGAAAGCATTTCTTGGGTGTGTGGTGATCAAAAGACACCGTTTATAAAATCATGTGTGTAGAGACAAGGCCACCACAGGGCCCAACCATCCAACTTTCTCAAACCCCAGGTACAGGAGGAAGGTCCAAGGAGCAAAGAGAAACTAAGGAAGAAGAGGGGAGGGAACATGTTTTTACGTTCCCAGCATGCTAAGTCTTTCTTTACATTGGGTCCTCGGCGTTCATGTATTTGACTGGATGGAGGATCATTGATTCAAGCCAGAAAGAAAGAGGAAGAAGGAGAATCCAGATATTCTAGAACAGGGGTTGGCAAGCTATGACTTGAAAGGCTACATCTAGCCCACAACCTCCTTTTGTACGGTCCTCCAGTTAAGGATAATTTTTGTACATTTTAGAATGGTTGGGGAAAAAATCAAAAGAAAATGAGTACTTCTTGACTTAGCACACAGTATATGAAATTCAAATTTCAGCGGCCACAGGAGTTTTATTGGAACACAGCCACGCCCATGCATTTACTATTGTCTATGGCTGTTTGAAGCCATACTCAGACTTGAGTATCTGTGACACAGACTATGTAGTGCTCCAAGAAAAATATTCACTCTCTGGACCTTTACAGAAAAAGTTTCATACCTTGTTGCAGAAGGAAAGTCAGTTTCACCAAGCCAGACTCATTTTAGCTGCTTAACAAATCCCACTGTCCCCCACCATGTCCCCATGACCCCTAAGCAGCTGTGTGACCTTGGGCAAGTCACTGATCTCTGTCCTGAAGGTGGTTATTAAAAACCACAGAAGCCTGTTCTAATAATGTGTATTTCGCACTGGACTATGCATTCTGAGGGGCAGGCTGTGCTGCTTTCACAACTGTACCCCCAGCGCTCACATATAGTAGGTGGTCACTCACGTATTTGTTGAGTGACTACTGAATTGCCCCCAACATTCAGCATGCAGTAAATGTACAATAAATATGACCTTCACTGAACTTGAAAAGAGGACCTAAAGATTCCACAGAAGCCAAAGGAGCAAATCTAAGCCAACCAGAGGGATGGAAAGACCAAGATGGGTGACAGAGCACAGAGTTCCTGCCAGGTTGTAAAGTCTGAGGACAAGATGTGAGCCAGTGGGGAACTAGGAAATCAGCAGCCCTCCCAGCTGTAGCCGAGGAGAAGAGAAGTGAGCCCAGATGCACCCTCAGTGTGGGAACCTGTAGGCTTCTCCGTTGGGCAGAGAGGAGCCAACCCCAGAAAGCAAGCAGCTCAACGGGTCTGACTGCAGGTCTGACTGCATGACCTTGGCGCTGACCTGTCGCCACTTCCCCGCCTTGTACTGAAGGGAAAGGTCTCTTGTCAAGCAGCCTCCCCCCAAAAAAGGATGCCTGGAAATTATTTCGGTCCAAGAATTCTTGAGAGAGTTTTCTCAAGGTGATGGGGGTCCACAACTGCCAGACCTCAAGGCAATGGCCGAAAACGACCGGTTGCTCCCGCCCCCACCAACAGCGCGCCTATAGTATATCCCCCACCCCTCAGCACCCAGTGCCCAGGAGAGACGACGTCCTTGTCCCTCCAGGCCGGAACAGCTGCCTCAGGCTCGCTCCGCCGGCCAATTAGCCAGAGCCGTCACCACGGCAACGGCAGCTGGCGGGCCGGGCGGCTGGCGCGTCCCGGGCCGCCCTCCCCGCGGCCCCTCCCCTGGGGTGGGGTGCAAGGGGAGGGGATGGGGGCAGAAAAGTGCGCCCCACCCCCACTTCCTCCCCAGGAGGTGAGGGCGCGCGTGCAGAGTCCACAGGGGCCCTTCATCCCGGGGTGTGGGGGTCCCCAGCCCCTTATCCTGGGTCGCACGCCCGCCACTGCACAGGTTGCGTGCCCTCGGGCACCCTTTTAATCAAGGCAAGTTTGTGGAAGCCCCGCAGCGTGTCCTCCCTTCCGCGCGCTCACGGCCGGAGGGGGCGCGGCACCCCCCACCCGCACCGCGGACCTTGCCCCCCAGCCTCAGCCCTACCTGGATGTACGCCATTTTCGCCCTCGCGCACTCACTCCGGCCCGGGCATGGCGCCGCCACGGCCACTTTGCCCTCGCCAACAGGGGAGGGGGGAGAAAGCAAAGGGGGAGAGGAAGAAAAAGGCAGCCGGGTGGCCCCAGACGTGACTGGCGTGGCTGATGAGCGGCGCCCGCCCCTCTGCCGGCCGCCCCGTCCTTGCCTTTCCCTGCGTTCCGGCTCCCGGAGTCGGGGCCGCCTCCCAGGTTGGGAGAGCTGGGGCGCCCAGAGCCCCCGCCTCGGCCACTCTCGCAGTCCGGCGCTCCCCCCGAGGCGCTGCCCTGGCTGGAAAGACGCCGGGGCGCCTGGGGAAGGAGCCCGGGGCAGCCGCGGGGACTGCAGCGACCCCGGCGCAGGCGGGGCTGGAGACGCGGGGCCGGTGCGCGCCGGAGGCGGGGGAGGGGATGGAGAAGGGGGTGGGAGGGGGCGGTGCGCGGGTCAGCCCATCCGGTCCGCACTGGGGCTGGCACCTACCCAGAGCAGAGCCCCCGGGACGGCCTTGAAAGCCGAGGGGATACAGTCCTGCCCGCTGTGGAGTCTGGAGCGGGGAGGGTCCTCCCCATCCAGCCCTCTCCCAGTCCGGGTTGGGAAAACTTTATTCCCGCCCCAGCCGACGCGCCTAGAACTGTTGCGGCGAGGAACGCAGAGGCCAAATGAATGGGAGCCTTAAGTTCAGGTGGGGCCTAGGGTGCCCGGAGGAACGTGCTGTGGCCAGGGCCGCAGGGGCGCGCGGAGACAGCGGAGCGCCCCTTTTACCCTAAACCTGCCCTAGATGCGCCCTGGGCTCAACAGGTCTGGAGCGGGGCGGCCCGGCAGCGCCACCCAGCGTCGAGCCCGCGACGTGCGCTCCTCTGCCCGCTCTCAGCTCAGCGAACGTGCGCCCCCGGGCGTGTCCACCCTGTCCCGCCCGCCCGCGCGGCTGGGGCGCCCTGTGTCTGGAGTCCTCCCCCAAACCGGTTCTCGCACCCTCCGCCGCGTCAGAACCGGGGCCCACTCCGCTACTGAGGGATTTGAAGTGGAACATTGCCCTCCGCTGGTTCTCTTTTTAAAATGCCCCGCCGTCTCCCGTTGTCAGTCACCGGTTTATCAACCTTTTAACTCCCCAACGCCTCCGCCTGTCTTCTTCATCACTAAAAATGGCATAAAATCTCTGTCCTGCCTTTTCCCCAGGGCCGTTTTGTGGGGATAAATAAGGAACGTGAAAGTAACAAAAGGCGTAATGTGCGTCTGTGTATGTATGTTGCATGAAAATCTAACCAGTACACATTTTTTAGTTTGTCCGTTGTATTTCATTAGTAGCACGTGGCCTGCAGCACATGCTGAGCACTTATCATCTGGGAGACACCGTGATCACAAGCATTTCACAAGCATGATTTCATTTTATCATCCTCTGCCTTGCTCACTATGTGTCTAGCACACCGCCTGATCAGAGTGGACACTCAATAAATGTTTTTCTTGTTGGCTGTGGACCCCTCCTAACTATTTGAGGGAGGTGCTGCAGTTCTCCCCAGTTCACAGATGAGACTGAGGTACAGTGAGGTAGGACCACCCCTCCTAAGCACCACAGAAGCATGGCGGATACCGCCACTGGCGTTTGAAGCCACACAGTGTGCCCTCCTAACTACTTGACTGTGTTTACCCATAGTGTTTCTTCAGCATTGATGGAAAGGGTGCTCGGTGGGGAGAGGGCTTTACAGAGGAGGGGTGATTACTGGGATGGGAGCTTTTGGGGAGAATTTGAGAGAAGTGCAAGAGGTTGCCAGGTGTTTCCAGGAAGAAGAGCTAACCTTTTTGAGACTGTGGGCCAGGCTCTGCTTTAGGCCTTTTACACAAATTGAATTCTCAATTCCCTGATGACCATGAGGTGGGCACTATTATATCCCAGTCTCTAGATGAGAAAAGAGGAGGCATAAAGCTGTTAAGTGACTTGCCCGGGGGGTAAATGTCATTGAGGGGCTGGGATTCAAACTAGACAGCCTACACCCAATCTGTCCCCTAGCCACCGCACCACACACTGCCTCACAGTACTGGGTACTGGGGAAAGGGAAGGAAATCCTTAGGATTAATTTGATACCTTAATCCCTAAAGACTTAAAACTGTCAGAAAACCAAGCACCCCTCCTCCCCTGAAGGTTATTTTAAATGGGCATAAGGGAAACTACTTCTGGAGTAATCAACTACTTCTCCATATGTAAAGCACCTGGCACACAATAGGTGCTTAATAAATGCTTGCTGAATGCATGAATGGGTGGATGCTGCCAACTCTTGAGTCATTATCATGATTGAGAGCTGAGCACTTGGCATGTGTTCCTTTGTAATCCTCACCAGAGCCCTACAAGGTGGACACTATCATTGTCTCTTCCCTGATGAGAAGGCTGAACTTCTGCGAGAGAAAGTGAGTCACCCTAGGTAAACAAGTGAAGAATGACAGGGACAGGACAAAAATGCAGATGTGCTTAATTCTGAAAGCCCAGCTCCTCAGAGCTGTGCCATCCTGCCTCCAAAGGAAGAATGAACAAGAAGTCAGTGCTACATCATTTGTCAGATGTCCTTCCAAGACTGGCTTTCAGGGTCCCCAGCTCTGGGAGCCTCTCCCTGCTATTCCCAGGGAACTGTGGTCCTGCTTTGCTTTGAAATGTAATGTGGGCTCAGAGCAAAGCTGTGCCTGTTTGGACAAAGCAGCTGGCACCAACCCAGATCTCAGGAGAAGCTCCTACTTCAGAATTCTGCGGGGCTCCTAAACTTAGGAAGGAAAAGAGTTACATCTCTATTGTCACTAACCTCTACGTGAAATTCAGTATCACCTTTCATTATGGATGCAGGCAACAAACCACAACAGTATTAACATTTACCGGGGTTTGTCCCCAGTAGAAAGAGAAATAGAGTAGAAGAAAAATAGAAGTCAATAGAAATCAGGTACATTCACATCACATTACAGTTGTGGCGAATAACTTGAAATTTTATTTACACTCTTTACTGCCTGAAAAATCACAGCTACTCATCTATTTCATGCATTAATGAGGAGGCACATACATTACCATATTTAAACTTTTTAATATTTTGATAAGGGTATGTCAATAGAATTGTCATTTCATGATAATCCTATGTATTCCACTCTATTGTTTAAAGACATTATTCTGAGATGGGGTCTATAGGCTTCAGTAGACTGGGGCGGGAGGCGGTCCATGGCACAGAAAGGATTTGGAACCCCTGCAAGTAACATGTGCATTAGCTCAGGGGTGAGAGTGGGAACTGGCAAGTAATTCTCTGGCTGGAAGGAGGGGAGGATGGTGCCAGGTGAGGCTCAACAGGTAGGAGAAGCCAGATGCCCTGCGGACTGGTAAGTTACTCCATAGAAGAGCAGGAAGGGTCTGGCCTGGAAGGATTTTGGCAGGGGTGTGTCTGTCTGTCTGTGGACACGGAGTAGACAAGCCCGGAGGCAGCAATCCAGGTATGAGGCGATCTGGGCCTGAGCTTCGGTCACAGTAGTGAATCAGGCCTGTAACTGAATGAGCAGTGATGGGGCAGGTGGTGGAAGGCAGAGGAGGCTGAAGGAAGGCAGGTTTGCTGGGGGAAGAGTTGGGGTTTTATATCTGGATATGTCGAATCTCGGATACTTACTGTGTAGAGTTCCTAGGAGAAACTCCAACCCATCCAGCTTGAGCAAAACAATTTAAGGGCTCACGAACTGGGAAGTCCAAGGGCCAGTCCTATAGTCAGGGCTGGATTTAGAGATGCAGAAGAAGTTACAAGGCCTCACTCTCTCCAAATCTCATCTCTTCACGGCTTTTCTCTGAACGTTGGAATTTTTTTCTCCTGGAGGAGGTCTGCTTCTCGCGGCAGAAACATGGCCAGTAGCGGACTTGAGCTTCTGGTGTATTCGTTTATGCTCCAAAAGCAAAAGAGACTTTTAAAGAGATCTTAAGGAAAAAACTCGAATTGGTCCTGCTTGGGTTAAGTGCCTATACCTCTGGACCAAGCACTGTGTCCAGAGAAACCAGCACCCTTCTTGAGTGCACCGAGACTCGGCTGAGCTGAGACCACGAGCCACCATCCCACGCAGACTACTCAGAGAAAGGGGAGCATGAGATTCTCTGGGAAAGACACGCCCACATGGGCGTGGCTATGTAACCTGGGTCGGGGGCAAAGATGTCCAATGAGCAGATGAGTTGGTTCCAGACTTCAGACCCTCCCAAAGCAGAATGGTGCTTCCAGTTAATCGGGAGATAAGGCTTCTGTCATCTCCTGGGTGCATTTCTGGGCTCACTTCAGTCCGCATTTTCTTTCTTTCTTTCTTTCTTTCTTTTTTTTTTTTTGTTTTTTAAAGATTTTATTTAGTTGGTAGAGAGACAGCGAGAGAGGTAATACAAGCAGAGGGAGTGGGAGAGGGAAAAGCAGACTTCTCTCTGAGCAGGGAGCCCCATGCGGGGCTTGATCCGTGGACCCTGGAATCATGACCCTAGCTGAAAGCAGACATTTAATGACTGAGCCACCCAGGAGCCCCAGTCCACAGCTTCTAAAAGGAACCTGGCCCCTCACCTTCTCCGCTCCAATCCCAGAGGGCAGACATATAATAATGGTTTTCTCTTTAGGATCCTTAAGAAGGTAGTTAGGAGGCAGGGCAAACCACAGACCTCAGGATATCTATTATAATTCAAAAGCACCAGAACAGCAAAAAGCAGACTCTGGCAAGCATATGGGCAACACACATTCTGGTTAGGTGACTTTCTATTCCTGCCAAACAGGCTGACGGCACTTGTCTCCTAAGTCAGTTTTAATTACACAGCCTCCTGAACATGCCATTCTGATCCTGTTTTAGCTGTGCCCATAACCCTGGGCAATGTTTCCGAACTCTGGGGAAGTGAGAAGGCTCTGGGCTAATTAAATAGCTGGTCTGGTAAAAGGTAGAACAGCCACCAACTGTTAAGTATGATCCCCGAGGCGGACATGACCGAGTAACCCCCCATAGGAGCTGGAGTCCCTTCTTGGTCTTCACCAAGGGTAATGTGGTTTGATGATGGCAAGAGATCTGGATTCCAGTCCAGCCTGGCCTACCAAAGTAGCTGTGTGGCCTCAGGCAGGCTGCTTCGTCCCTGGGAGCCTGTTTTCCTCACCAGCAGAATGGGTATAGTACTTCCCTCTGAGGGCAGGTGTGAAGTCAAGCAAATGAGAAAAATGCATGTGAAACACCCGTGTATGTTCGCAATTAGTGGTTCTCTGTTTCTTTCTCCCATTACATTGAATCTGAGGCCATGGCATCTCTTATTCTATTTTATAGTTTTAAGGAAATGTTGTGTTAGGGAGGAGGAAGAGACAAAGTAGAGGTTAAAATCCTGGCCTGTGGGATCAGCCAGGCCTGAGCCTAAATCAT